CGGTTCTGGGGCCCTCAGTAAAGTTCTGTGCCCCTTGGTAACAATTCTGTGTCTGTGGGATAACAATTTGTGCCCTAAGTAACAGTTCTGTGGCCCTCAGTAACAATTCTGTGTCCCTGATTAACGTTTCTGTGGCCCCAAGAAAACGTTCTGGGGCCCCTCAGTTAAAAATTTCTGTGTCTGTGCGATTAACAATTCTGTGTCTGTGCGTGTAACATTGTCTGATGGCCCTAAGGAACAGTTCTGTGGCCTCCTCAGTCACAGTTCTGTGTCTGTGCGATTAACAATTCGGTGTCTGTGCGAGTAACAAAATTCTGTTGTACTGTATGCGAGAGTCGAACAATTCATGTGGCCCTAGAGTAACAGTTCAGTTCTGTGGCCCCTCAGTAACAGTTCTGTGTCAATTCCTGTGCGCCATAACAATTCTGTGTCTGTGCGAGTAAAATATCTGTGGCCCTAAGTAACAGTCGTCTGTGGCCTACACGCTCTCAGTAACAATTCTGTGTCTGTGCGTGAGTAACAATCTTGTGTCTGTGCGGAGTAACAATTCTGTGGCCCTGATGTAACATTTCTGTGGCCGCTCAGGTACAATTCTGTTCTGTCCCGTTAGTAACAATTCTGTGGCCCTAATATCGTTTCAGTGGCCCTAAGTAACAATTCTCCTGGCAACTCCAGTAACCCCAAAATTCTGTCTGTCCGCTGAGTAACAATTCTGTGGCCCTAAATAAACGTTTCTGTGGCCCTAAGTAACAATTCTCTGGCACTCAGTATCATTCTGTCTGTCCCCTGAGTATGAATTTCTTGTGGCCTACTAGCGTTTCTCTTTGTCCCTAAGTAAACGATTCTGTGGCCCTAATTAACAATTCTGTGTCCCTGAGTAATAGTTCTCTGTCCCCAATTATTCGTTTCTGTGGCCCTAACTCTGTCCCTGTCCCTAGTACAGAGCGGTCTGCCTCTGTTCAATAACTGCAGGCAAATGAAGAATTCCAAAATGGCCGCTATTTATAGCTCGACCATTACACAGTGCTGGCTGGCTGGCTGCTGATTGGCTGATGCGATCACATGTCGTTGAGGAATGCATTATGGGTCAGCGCGCCTTGTCTGCGCGCCTTCCCAGACATCCCCGCTCCGTCGCCGCACATGTCAGCCGCCATTTTCGGAAAAATTTTCGAAAAAAAAAAAAAATCGAAAAATTTTTCCGATATTCGACTCGAATTCCACTTCGGCTACTTCGATTCGCTCATCTCTACCTACCACATATCCGAGCTTAACAAGGGATATACTGTTTACTCCAAGAATATTATCGACCAAAATTATACCCACCACCCATGCATTCAGGCATCTTTTATATGTATGGTATGATCTCTTAAATTACAAGTCATCCGAAAACACGTCGGTGCTACTCCTATTACCATGCTGTACCTCATTATTCCCTCCTTAAACCTGCATCAGAGGGAAAAAAAAAAAACGAGGAATAGCTCAAATACAAGACCTATATACCAAAAACATTCTACATCCCTTCCCCATCCTACAAAGTAAATTCAATCTCCCTGACTCGGAAAATGTCACCTACTTGGGAATAGCGCACTCTCTACAGAAAACGACTCTTCCACTTATGTTGAACATCCCTACTTCTGTACATACATTCTGTAATACATCTCAATCCCCGAGAAGAGGGATATCTATGTTATTACACATACATCACAAATTTTTCAATTTTCCTTACAAACCTGTCTAAGCAACTGGGAAGAAACTTCTCTCACAGCCAATCCCGCCACAAACATGGGAAAAAAAATACCTTTACCATCACTTATAAAGCTTCCCGATGCAGTTCCCACTGGGAAACGTACCTAAAATGTTCCACCAATGGTACCTGACACCGGTTTATGCCTTCCCTGTTTTATCCTCAACGCTCCCCTGCTTGCTGGAGACAGTGCGGGACGCAGGGTGGACTCTCCATATCCTCTGGACGTGTAAATCCCTTACATCACACTGGAACTCTGCTTTCCAATTAATCCCAAACACTAGCTGAAGCCCCAATTACATCCAACCTGCCCTTCCATTACTCCATGTAGGAACTGATCAATTCCCAAGGGGATCTCGTACTATTATCATCCACATACTAGCGGCCACTAAAACAAATCTTACAAAACGGGTGGAAATTCAACCAAAACTCCCCATCTTGCTGCACTTATAACAGATCTTACCGTCCAATGAGATATGGAGAGAAGATCAGCCGAAACAATTCCTCCAACCATAAGTGTACATTCCATCGGGATAGACGGCTACGAAGCCCAAATTGTTCCATAAAATGCTGATTACTTGAATGTACATAACTAGGAAATCTCTTACATTAGACTGGTATGTTGTTCTCCCCCCTTCTTTTACCTGTTACCCCCCCCCCAACCTGACCCTTATTCCTATTCCCTATACTTTTTTTTTTTCTTTATATACATATATATAGTTTTCACACACAGTTTATGGTTTCTTTACCCAACCAGCTCTCAGGATAACTTAACCCCTTCCAGACCGGACACTTTCACCCCCCTCCAGACCGGACACTTTCCCCCCCTTCCAGACCGGACACTTTCCCCCCTTCCAGTTCGGACACTTTCCCCCCCTTCCTGTCCGGACACTTCCCCCCCCCCTTCCAGACCGGACACTTTCCCCCCCTTCCAGTCCGGACACTTTCCCCCCCTTCCAGTCCGGACACTTTCCCCCCCTTCCTGTCCGGACACTTCCCCCCCCCCTTCCAGACCGGACACTTTCACCCCCTTCCAGTCCGGACACTTTCCCCCCCTTCCAGTCCGGACACTTTCCCCCCCTTCCAGTCCGGTCACTTTCACCCCCTTCCAGTCCGGACACTTTCCCCCCCTTCCAGTCCGGACACTTTCCCCCCTTCCAGACCGGACACTTTTACCCCCTTCCAGACCGGACACTTTTACCCCCCTTCCAGACCGGACACTTTCCCCCCCTTCCAGTCCGGGACACTTTCCCCCCCTTCCAGTCCGGACACTTTTACCCCCTTCCAGACCGGGCACTTTCCCCCCCTTCCAGTCCGGACACTTTTACCCCCTTCCAGACCAGACACTTTCCCCCCCTTCCAGATCGGACACTTGACCCCCTTCCAGACCGGACACTTGCCCCCCCCCTTCCAGTCCGGACACTCCCCTCCCCTTTCAGACCGGACACTTGCCCCCCCTTCCTGGACCAGGGCAATTTTCAGCTTTCAGCGCTATCACACTTTGAATGACAATTGCGCGGTCATGCAACACTGTACCCAAATGAATTTTTTACCATTTTTTTGAGACAGATAAACCTTTATTTTGGTGGTATTTATTCATCGCTGGGATATTTATTTGTTTTGCTATGTAAATGAAAAAAGTCCAAAAAGTGTTTTTTTTTAACATTTTGCAAATAAATAATATTTTCATCATAAATCTTGGCCAAAATTTTTTCCGTTATCTTTTTATTAAAAAAAAAAAAAATCCAAATAAGTTTATAACCAAAAATTATAATTTTTAAACATTTTTTTTTACATTTTTATTTTATTTTTTTATATTATTATTTATTTTATTTTTTTTACATCCTGTCACCCTAGCAGTACAGTGTCACCATGGTGACACTGTACTACTTTTTTTTTTTTTTTTTTTTTTTTTTTTACACTGATTGCTTTTACACCCATATAGGATGTAAGAGCAATCATTTCTCTTTCTCTCTCTGTCTGCATTCTTGCAGCCATTGAGAAGTACTGAGTGAGCTGTGATTGGTCACAGCTTGTCACATGGTACAAGGCTGTTGTGAATAGCCCTGTACCATGTGACCTCTGTGATCATTCACAGATTTCACACGTAGTAAGCAATGATGTCACAAGTGACATCTTGCTTACTACTTTGCATGTGATCACTGATTGGCCAATCAGTGATCACATGATCGGGACCTCGTACAGAGGTTCCACCCGACGATCGGTGTTTCACTGTGTCCGGAGGACACAGCGGGCACCAGATCGCCGTGCTGTGCACTCCCAGGGAGCGCGCACGAGCAGGGTGCGGGGAGGCTGATTTATAAACGTCCACCCGTCCCTGCAGTGCCACCGTCCAGCCGTTTATATACAATGGCCGGTCAGGAAGGGGTTAAACAATGTTACGTATGTTCCCAGCCAAGTGGTGGGGATTGTATTTTACATGCGGATTTTCCGAGTCCTGAAACTTGTTGTCTTGAACCGTTCTTTGATAAACATTTACTGTTTAAAAATCCTCAATAAATAATATTGAACATGAAATGTACTCCTACCCATATGACGTCTCCTTTCTGTGACTATGGAGCGATATGTTCCACTTTGGGGCGGAGTCAAGGTCTCCAGTCCTGAACTCTCCCCATATATGTATGAATATGACGTCTCACTTGTGAATGACAAGCTTTCCTCTGATTATTTGTCCTGCAGGGTACATTCCTTTTATTATTCTGGGGATCTGCTATTCATTTGTTGTTGTTGTCTTCTGCCCGGTTCCTGTGTATCCGGGATCCCGTATATTATGTTCCTTTTTATTATATTGACAAAGGTCATCATTGGAGTTTGTTATAGACCTCCCAGTGTTAATGAGGAGGTGGAGACTCAGCTCCTCCCACAGATGGAAAGGGCGGGGACAGTGATAATAATGGGGGATGGTAACTACCCGGAAAGTGACTGGAGTAATGGGACTGCAGGGAACAGGTAACCCCCTCAATACCGGCACTTCTACCCCCTTCCTGCCCACACCAAGGTTCAGCTTTCAGCGCTCTCACACTTTGAATGACAATTGATCAGTCATGCAACACTGTACACAAAGGAAATGTTTGTCCTTTATTCACACAAATACAGCTTTCTTCTGGTGGTATGTAATTAGCACTTTTTTTGTGCTATAAAATAAAAAAGACGAAAACGTTTCTGTTATGAAATTTTGCTAATAAGTAATTTTTCTTTTTAAATTTGGTCCAAAATGTCTACAACTACATTGCTTTGGTACCAATAATCCCAATCTGTGTGTATTACTTAGTCTGTGTGGAAGTTATAGAGTCTGCAAGATACGGTACCAATCATTGGATCACACCTGACCACACCTGACCACACCTAACCACACCTGATCACACCTGACCACACCTGACCACACCTGACCACACCTGACCACACCTGACCACACACCTGATCACACCTGACCACACCTACCACACCTCATCACACCTGACCACACCTGACCACACCTGACCACGTCTGATCACACCTGATCACACCTGACCACACCTGATCACACCTTGGCACCTGATCACAACTGACCACACCTGATCACACCTTGGCACCTGACCACACCTGAACTCACCTGATCACACCTGACCACACCTGATCACAGCTGACCACTCCTGATCACACCTGACCACACCTGATCACACCTGATCACACCTGGTCACACCTAATCACACCTGATCACACCTGACCACTCCTGACCACTCCAAACCACACCTGATCACAGCTGACCACACCTGACCACACCTGATCCCACCTGACCACACCTGACCACACCTGATCACACCTGACCACACCTGATCACACCTGACCACACCTGATCACACCTGAACACACTTGATCACACCTGATCACACCTTGACACCTGACCACACCTGATCACACCTGACCACACCTGATCACAGCTGACCACACCTGATCACACCTTGACACCTGACCACACCTGACCACACCTGATCACACCTGAACACACACCTGATCACACCTGACCACACCTGATCACACCTTGGCACCTGACCACATTTGACCACACCTGACTACAGCTGATCACACCTGACCACACCTGACCACACCTGATATACTGACGGCCGATCTAATTTCTGGAGACACTAACAAGCCAGGACAGGACAGATTCCCCCAAATGACCCCTTTTTGGAAATTAGACATTCCAAGGTATTTTGTAAGATTCATAGTGAGTTTTTTGAACCTGCAATTTTTCCCACAATTCTTTGTAAAAAATAAATAAAATTAGTTTTTTTCACATAATTGTTATAGTATCCACTTGCCCTCCAGGGGATTTACCCGGCTTAATGACCACGCCTCTTTTTGCTACAGTGATCAATGCAAAAAAAAAAAGCACCGACGCTGTACTAATGGCACTGGGTAGGAAGGGGTTAACATGAGGGACGATCAAAGGGTTAGCTGTGTGATGGGAATGTGTTACTAGGGGGTGGTGTCTGTTACTAGGAGGCGGGAGGGTGTGCTTCTCTGCTATGTGAGCGCACCAAAGGGGGCGGAGTTTGATACCGATCGACGATTTCTATGGAAGAACTCCTCAAGATGTTTTCCAAGTATTAACCCCTTCCTGCCTGGCCCATGTACATAAACGGCCGGACCGGAGCTGTGCAGGAGCGGGTGGATGTTTATAAATGGCATCCGCATCCTGGGAGCGCACGGCAACATGATCCGGAGGACACACGGAACACCGATCGCTGTACGGGACCTCTGTGTGAGGTGTTGATCATGTGATCAATGATTGGCCAATCAGTGATTACATGAATAGTAGTAAGCAAGATGCCACTTCCTGACATCATTGCTTACTACGTGTGAAATCTGTGAATGATCACAGAGATCACATGGTAGAGGGCAATTCACAACAGCCTTTTACCATGTGACAAGCTGTGACCAATCACAGCTCACACAGTATTTCTCAATGGCTGCAGGAATGCAGACAGAGAGAAGGAGAAATGACTCCTCTTACATCCTATATGGGTGTAAAAGCAATCAGTGTAAAAAAAAAAAAAAATCTTCATCACCCCCCACAAGTAGTACAGTGTCACCATGGTGACACTGCAGTGTTAGGGTGACAGTATGTAAAAAAAAAAATCTTAAATAATAATATAAAAAATAAAATAAAAATGTAAAAATATGTTTTGAAAAATTATAATTTTTGGTTATAAACTAATTGGGTTATTTTTTTTTACTAAAAAGATAACAGAATACATTTTGGAGAACATTTATGAAGAAAGATTATTTATTTGCAAACGTTTATAAGAGAAACACTTTTTTTTTCAAAATGTTTATACTTTCATTTATATAGCAAAAAAATAAAAAAATCCCGGCGGTGAATAAATCCCACCAAAATAAAGCTTTATGTGTCTCAAAAAATGCAAACAAATTAATCTGAGTACAGTGTTGCATGACCGCGCAATTGTCATTCATAGTGTGATAGCGCTGAAAGCTGAAAATTGGCCTGGACAGGAAGGGGGGGGCGAAGGGCGGGGGTGGGGAAAGTGTCCGGACTAGAAGGGGGGGAAAGTGTCCGGACTGAAGGGGGGAAAGTGTCCGGACTGGAAGGGGGGGAAGTGTCCGGACTGGAAGGGGGGGAAGTGTCCGGACTGGAAGGGGGGGGAAAGTGTCCGGACTGGAAGGGGGGGAAAGTGTCCGGACTGGAAGGGGGGAAAGTGTCCGGACTGAAGGGGGGAAAGTGTCCGGACTGGAAGGGGGGAAAGTGTCCGGACTGGAAGGGGGGAAAGTGTCCAGACTGGAAGGGGGGGGGAAAGTGTCCGGACTGGAAGGGGGTGAAAGTGTCCGGACTGGAAGGGGGGAAAGTGTCCGGACTGGAAGGGGGTGAAATGTCCAGACTGGAAGGGGGGAAATGTACAGACTGGAAGGGGGGAAAGTGTCCGGACTTGAAGGGGGGGAAAGTGTACGGACTGGAAGGGAGGGGAAAAGTGTCCGGACTGGAAGGGGGGGAAAGTGTCCGGACTGGAAGGGGGTGAAAGTGTCCGGACTGGAAGGGGGGGGGGGGGAAAGTGTCAGGACTGGAAGGGGGGGAAGTGTCTGGACTGGAAGGGGGTTAAATGTCCAGACTGGAAGGGGGTGAAAGTGTCCGGACTGGAAGGGGGGGAAATGTCAAGACTGGAAGGGGGGAAATTGTCCGGACTGCAAGGAGGGGAAAGTGTCCGGACTGCAAGGGGGGGAAAGTGTCCGGACTGGAAGGAGGGGAAGTGTCCAGAATGGAAGGGGGGGGAAGTGTCCGGACTGGAAGGGAGGGGGGGAAGTGTCTGGACTAGAAGGGGAGGAAAGTGTCCGGACTGAAGGAAGGGAAGTTTCCGGACTAGAAGGGGGGGAAAGTGGCCAGACTGGAAGGGGGGGGAAAGTGTCCTGGACTGGAAGGGGGGGGGGGAGTGTCCGGACTGGAAGGAGGGGAAAGTGTCCAGACTGGAAGGAGGGGAAATGTCCGGACTGGAAGGAGGGGAAGTGTCCGCACTTGAAGGGAGGGGGGGAAGTGTCCAGACTGGAAGGAGGGGAAGTGTCCGCACTTGAAGGGAGGGGGGGAAGTGTCCAGACTGGAAGGGGGGAAAGTGTCCGGACTGGAAGGGGAGGGGGGGGAAGTGTCCGGACTAGAAGGGGGGGAAAAGTGTCCGGACTGGAAGGGGGGGGGGGAAGTGTCCAGACTGGAAGGGGGGGGGAGTGTCCCGGACTGGAAGGGGGGGGGGAAAGTGTCCGGACTGGAAGGAGGGGAAAGTGTCCGGACTGGAAGGAGGGGAAGTGTCCGCACTTGAAGGGAGGGGGGGAAGTGTCCGGACTGGAAGGGGGGAAAGTGTCCGGACTGGAAGGAGGGGAAGTGTCTGGACTGGAAGGAGGGGAAGTGTCCACACTGGAAGGGAGGGGGGAAGTGTCCGGACTAGAAGGGAAGGAAAGTGCCCGGACTGGAATGGGGGAAATGTCCGGACTGGAAGGGGGGGGAAGTGTCCAGACTGGAAAGAGGGGGGGAAAGTGTCCAGACTGGAAGGGGGGGGGAAGTGTCCAGACTGGAAGGGGGGGAAAGTGTCTGGACTTGAAGGAGGGGAAAGTGTCCGGACTTGAAGCAGGGGAAATGTCCGGACTGGAAGGGGGGAAAAGGGGACTGGAAGGGGGGGAAAGTGTCCGGACTGGAAGGGGGGGAAAGTGTCCGGACTGGAAGGGGGGGAAAGTGTCCGGACTGGAAGGGGGGAAGTGTCCACAATGGAAGGGAGGGAAAGTGTCCACACTGGAAGGGGGTGAAAGGTCTGGACTTGAAGCAGGGGAAATGTCCGGACCGGGGACTGGAAGGGGGGGAAATGTCCGAACTCGAAGGGGGGGAAAGTGTCCGGACTGGAAGGAGGGGAAGTGTCCGCACTTGAAGGGAGGGGGGGGGTGTCCGCACTTGAAGGGGGGGGAAAGTGTCCGGACTGGAAGGGGAGGAAAGTGTCCACACTGGAAGGGGGCGAAAGTATCCAGACTGGAAGGAGGGGAAGTGTCCGCAGTGGAAGGGAGGGGGAAAATGTCCAGACTATAAAGGGGGGAAATGTCCAGACTGGAAGGGGGTGAAAGTGTCCAGACTGGAAGGGGGTGAAAGTATCCGGACTGGAAGGGGGGAAAGTGTCCAGACTGGAAGGAGGGGGGAAAGTGTCCGGACTGGAAGGGGGGCAAAGTGTCCGGACTGGAAGGAGGGGAAAGTGTCCGGACTGGAAGGAGGGAAAATTGTCTGGACTGGAAGGGGGGGCAAAGTGTCCGGACTGGAAGGGGGGAAAGTGTCCAGACTGGAAGGGGGGGGGGGAAAGTGTCCGGACTGGAAGGGGGGGGGAAGTGTCCGGACTGGAAGGGGGGAAAGTGTCCGGACTGGAAGGAGGGAAAATGTCCGGATTGGAAGGGGGGAAGTGTCCGGACTGGAAGGGGGGAAGTGTCCGGACTGGAAGGAGGGGAAGTGTCCGGACTGGAAGGAGGGGAAGTGTCCGCACTGGAAGGGAGGGGGGAAGTGTCCGGACTGGAAGGGGAGGAAAGTGTCCGGACTGGAATGGGGGGAAATGTCCGGACTGGAAGGGGGGGGAAGTGTCCGGACTGGAAGGGGGGGAAAGTGTCCGGACTGGAAGGGGGGAAGTGTCCACAATGGAAGGGAGGGAAAGTGTCCGGACTGGAAGGGGGTGAAAGTGTCTGGACTTGAAGGAGGGGAAAGTGTCCGGACTTGAAGCAGGGGAAATGTCCGGACTGGAAGGGGGGGAAATGTCCGAACTGGAAGGGGGAAGTGTCCGGACTGGAAGGAGGGGAAGTGTCCGCACTTGAAGGGAGGGGGGGAAGTGTCCGCACTTGAAGGGGGGGGAAAGTGTCCGGACTGGAAGGGGAGGAAAGTGTCCACACTGGAAGGGGGCGAAAGTATCCAGACTGGAAGGAGGGGAAGTGTCCGCAGTGGAAGGAAGGGGAAATGTCCAGACTATAAAGGGGGGAAATGTCCAGACTGGAAGGGGGTGAAAGTGTCCAGACTGGAAGGGGGTAAAGTGTCCGGACTGGAAGGGGGGGAAAGTGTCCGGACTGGAAGGAGGGGAAAGTGTCCGGACTGGAAGGGGGGGAAAGTGTCCGGACTGGAAGGAGGGGAAAGTGTCCGGACTGGAAGGGGGGGAAAGTGTCCGGACTGGAAGGAGGGGAAAGTGTCCGGACTGGAAGGAGGGAAAATTGTCTGGACTGGAAGGGGGGGCAAAGTGTCCGGACTGGAAGGGGGGAAAGTGTCTAGACTGGAAGGAGGGAAAATGTCCGGATTGGAAGGGGGGGGGAAGTGTCTGGACTGGAAGGGGGGAAGTGTCCGGACTGGAAGGAGGGGAAGTGTCCACACTGGAAGGGAGGGGGGGAAGTGTACGGACTGGAAGGGGAGGAAAGTGTCCGGACTGGAAGGGGGGGGGGAAGTGTCCAGACTTGAAGGGGGGGAAAGTGTCCGGACTGAAGGGGGGAAAAGTGTCCGGACTGGAAGGGGGGGAAGTGTCAGGACTGGAAGGGGGGGGAAAGTGTCCGGACTGAAGGGGGGGGAAAGTGTCCGGACTGAAAGGGGGGGAAGTGTCCGGACTGGAAGGGGGGGAAGTGTCTGGACTGGAAGAGGGGGAAGTGTCCGGACTGGAAGGGAGGGGAAGTGTCCGGACTAGAAGTGGGTGAAAGTGTCCGGACTGGAAGGGGGGGAAAGTGTCCAGATTGGAAGGGGTGAAAGTGTCCGGACTGGAAGGGGGGGAAAGTGTCCGGACTGGAAACAGGTCTCTTGAACACGGTTATATCACATGTATGTTGGAATGCCTGTTCCCACATGTGTGTACGTTTGGCCGGATGATTCAAGCCATCGCCATTAATAGACATCATTTTAATAGCCATTGAATCGATCGATTTGCCGACATTAATGGGGGCCGAACCAAGGGGCCCCTAAAGCGGTAATACGTTTGTATGCGCTGGTCAGGTAAACCATTCCGACTGTCAGGAATGACACCGTAGTAGAAACAAGAAGGAAACAAAAAAACAAATACAGAGAACAAATCAGTAACAAATAGGATCTCAGCCGCGATCGGAACGCAATGAAAACCGCATTGTACTGTGTTGGGTAGTACCCCTCAGGGGCAGGGCTTACACTTTTGACATGGCATGTGGGCGGGACCATGAGATGGCGGTATAGGGTGAATGTTTGGCGTTGGTCAGTGACCAGGTTCCCACTCTGGAGATGCTCTGGTGGTGGAAGAATGTTATGCGTGGCTTTGTGGGAGAATGTCGCACTCTCCGAGACATTGCACCCCTTCCTCTAGGCTGTGGATTGTGATGATCGACTCATTCTGGGGACCATCAATTTAGTGGGGTGACCACAACGTCCAATCATTTTGTGGTTTG